TATGTCTATCACCTACCCTTTAGTCGGGGTGGCGCTCTTAAATTGAATGATCTTGAAAAAAGATGTTTTAGAAATTATTATTTTTTTACTGAACAGTAAAGCGAATCCATCACAAACCATACAGCAAATACTCATAAATAATTGGCCGATTTTTTGGTATATGTTCTAATAAAAAACACTTATCCGTTTAAGATATACAGGGTGTTGAAATTTGAACAACCCCCTTTCATATCATCTGAAGGGCTAACGCTAGGCTGTTCAAATTTTCAGGGATTCTTGATGAAATAAACAGAAACAAATATAAAAATTATATCTATTTATTAATTTTTATAATGCATATGTTCAAAAAAAGATTCAAAAAGTGAACCATAGCGACGCAAACAAGCTTCAACAGGATTCTGCAAATCATTAAACATATTTATAAAGAGTGGTTTTGGCTATTTTTCTGAACTGCGGCCGTTATTCCTTCCAAATCCGTATGACCGGAAAGCATGTAGCCATTCCACTATAGATTTTGGCACCCGTCTCAATTTTGATTGGTCAATTTGGAGTGCAACTATAGAAGGTGCGGAACTACGTAGTAGATTGTTAGAACGGTGCCCAAAATGAGAGTGCAATGTCATATGCTTCAAGGGGGTGTGACCCTAAAAAACAACTTGAGCTACTTAAATGAAGAAAAAAATCCCAAGATCTCTCGTGGAAACCGCAGTCCTATATTCAAAATAGTCTTCGAGAAAACTCCTTGTGAAGATAAATTATGCAGGAACTGATGCAAGAAGTGATGTCACAACCGCCGAAATCGCTGTCTTCTGTTCGTTCAGTCGTCAGTCAGGGATGCTATTTCTAGTACAATTGTACTAGATCTAGCACAATCACGTTTCACCTAGTACGCTAGTACCTCTCTCATAAATCTAGTACAATTTGGATTACGAGTCGAATGTCGCTCTTCGCTCTATACCGTACCCGAGTTCTGCGCTCCACTCTCTACTTGTGGGTTGGATTTCACGTTCCGGTCCCATTACGGTGCGGCTTAAAGCCAAACAAGAAATTGGCGTATCGAATATGAGGCAATTTTTGGCGAGGATAGGGCAGTTTGATGTTTGACGTTCAAGATGGCGTTGCGGCTTGCGGCATAAAAAACTTGACCTTGACGTCCATAAGAGACTGTTTACACAGCTTAACCCTATTTATTTTCATTTTTCTGTGAATTTATAAAGTGTTTTTATCAGTTTGAGAACGTTTTTTGATAGAAATTTTTATTTTTGGCGTTGTTGTGGTTAAGGTAATTTATGTTTTTTAACATTCACTTGCCTCTGGCACAATTTATATTTGTCAAAAATGCCAAGATTGGCAAGGCATGTTTCATATGCCCATTATCTTTTAATACAAGTGAACTACAAACTTTTACCTCTTCCCAACATCAAGAGATTCTAGTAATAACTTTCGTAGATAAGCACTCTGCATTTTATCAAAAATCAAAAAATATGAACTACCTATATGTTCCAGGCTGCTTACAGTTCTGGTACACACGAACAACTGATCGGAGGTTAAGAAAATCATCTTGTTGTAACTTATATTTAAGCCTTCCTACCTACTTAGGGCACAGCTTCTTGGGGTCTGTTTTGTACCTGATGTCCAGGTATTTTATTAATAGATAAATATTCCAAGTAAATACGAACATTAAAGGAAATTGAAATAAATTAAAATTCATCAAATTAAACTCTGAAACAAGTAGAAATAAGTGAATGACACACATTTATATCTGTGTTTATATGGAGGCATGTTTAACCTCAAAGATTTGTTTACATTTGTGCCGCATCGCCATCTTGAATTATCAGCTGATTCGAACTGCCTAGCGATGACGTCACCCGCAGACCTGGATCGAATGCTTGCGATTCAGGCTATGCTAGTGAGTTAATTTTTTCGTCGATTTTAAATGTAGAAAAGCTGATTTTCGATCTCTTTTCACAGAACAAATTAGTGTTCTTGATCCTCGAGTATTGCAGAATTTGATGGAGGGGGAGTTTTTTATTCTGTGACTTAACGTGTGTCATGTATCGGTGGTTATTCGGTTATTCAGCGGATCATGGTAATCGGTAGTCGATTTATAACTAAATATGTAGAAATTTATTTATTTCTATCATTCAGGGCCGGTTTCCCAATAGCGAGTCACCTCCAGGTTAAGGATAACTCTAGGTAAACATTGCAACTGAACACGTTTACCCTGGAGTTAAAACCAACCCGCAGGTGACTCGCTATTGAGAAACCGACCCTAAAATAAATGATATTTACCCCCATTTAGCCGAGCTTACATTTGTATTCAAATTTCAAAATGTGACACGCTTTCAGCTAGTACACAATGTCGCTAATCTAGTACAATTATTCCCTACTTTCTGGTACAATTTTTTTAGTGCTGATAGCATCCCTGTCGTCAGTGAACCATACCCTATACTTTTAGTGGTTGCAATTCGCTCTAGGACATAATTGTCTTTTGTTTTGGAAGATTGTTACACTGTCGCTGATAATCCAGCATGACGTCACAAAAGCCTAGTTGTAACTTTAAACGGCCCTAACTCGAAAACGGACCATCGTAGCAAGATGCGGTTTAAATATTTATTCTTAGATTTTTTTGCACTAAAACTTTCATTTTTGGGTCACACCCCCTTTCAGTTGATTTATTTTAAACTGTCGCTCTCGCCAATACTATACCAATACGTGGTGCTCAATTTGATAGTGGATTGTGCGAACGGTGCTAAATTGCGAAGCGGAATGTAGAATTGATTGGAGGCTATGTTATGTTGATTTATTTATCGCATTGTGCAGTTTTGTTGGGTTCTACTCAATAATATCCATGATTAAATGGAAAATTTAATGAAAATAAATATGTAATTTGCTTTATCGAGGAAGATTCAAAAGTGCGGACGAAGTAATTCAATGGCTACGATTTTACGAGGAACAAGTATTATGTATGTTCGTACTATGTGTAAATTACATATTTTCTAAAATAAACTACAATAAATATTATATACCCAATTAGTTGTTTTTTATTGAATCGCCTCAAAAACAGAAACAGTTACCTATTTGAAGAACTTCTACATTCCAGTAATTAGCCCCATGCGTAGTGTTCCAAGCAAAATCGGTAGCGCAAAAATAGTCATACGACATTGCACTCTCGTTTTGGGCACCGTCCTGACATTCTACTACGTGGTTCAGCACTTCTGTAGTTGCACTTATGCATAATGAGTATGAACCACTGTATGAACATTCCACTTATGATTTGAGCACAGCTCACACATTCCTTTATGCGGCATCATATCAAAATATTATTCAAATCAGCCAATCGCCTTAGTGTACGGCCACACAGAACGCGTTCAAAGCGGCATAAACGCGCTTGGCGATTAGTGTTTAGAACGTCTTTTGCAACTAGAATTAAAATAATGTAATATATAGCGAGTGGCCCGACAAGACGCTTTTTGCATTTTGCGCTTCTCTCGCTATATATTACATTATTTTAATTCTACTCGCAAAAGACGTTCCAAACGCTTTAGTCGCCAAGCGCGTTTATGTCGCTTTGAACGCGTTCTATGTGGCCGTACACTTAGAGACGGTGCCGAATCGTATAGTGGAATATCTAGATGCGACCGGAAATAGTGCTCTACTAAAGAAAACTTTTTCTTCAGTTGAAAGAGCCATATTGACGAAGATTTTAACCTTAACGTAATGTCAAACTGACACCTAATGACAAATAAGCGAAATACGATAAATACAACTTGCGTGCGCAATTGCTGATAGCTCTAGATTTCGGCACTGTTTATTTTGGCGGACACCGTATATAAATCAAACTCCTATTATACACCCTAACTTACGTAGCATGTGTATTAGAAGTGTTCCAGTTAGCAGGTGGATTAGTAGAGATAGCATCTAGCCACCTACAAGCTAATCCATGGGCTACTTAACACGTTCGCGGGCAGTACTGCTAAAGCCGTCATATTCTTCTCCCTTGCCTGGGACATGACGTCGATAGCAGTCACCCCAATTTTCTTCTATAAACAAATAACGGCTCTAGCCGTCTTTGATCCCATATAGCTACATGTATTTTCAATTTATTAGTCCTGCCACAGTATATATTCACCTCAAAATTGTACAGTTCACGGCGAATTTTAAAACCAATTTACCACACCAAACATGGAAATACAAAAATTGACATTCCAAGCACAACATAGGTACTTTTAGAAATTGTCCGCGAACGTGTTAAATCACCCTGTATAGGCGCAAACTTTTTATTGAAATTTCAATGGATATATAAGAGTATTTAACAACAATACATTATTTGTCCGATTAAGATGGATATTATCCAATAATGCCTCCTACACTATTGGTGAGTTAATGAGTTTTCAAATTACAACTTTAGTCATGAAAATAAGAGTAAGGCAGGCGACACACTGGAGAAATAAGTTTCATGAAATTTGTTGCAAGAAACTGGAAATTTGTTTCATAATCACACGACACATACATTCAAATCAGGCGGCGCTAACGGGAGAAAAAATTTCTGCTCTCCTGTTCCAGAAACGCCAGTGTGCGCCGCCTCATTTGAATGTATGTGTCGTGTGATAATGAAATAAATTTCCTGTTTCTGCCTAAGGCAGGTGACACACTGGAGAAATAGGTTTCATGAAACTTGTTGCAAGAAACTGGAAATTTGTTTCATTGCCACACGACACATACATTCGAATGACACGCCTGAGGCAGAGCACACTGGCGTTTCTGAAACAAGAGAGCGGAAATTGTTTCGCCAGTGTCATTTGAATGTAAGTGTAGTGTGATAATGAAACAAAGTTCCTGTTTCTTGCAACAAGTATTATGAAGCTCATTTCTCCAGTGAGTCACCTGCCTAAAGATTAACCACTGTTACAAATTAGCTAAAGTAAAATTACTTTTAGTAACCTATTGTGATCTTTGGTTAATTTAATTTGATTTCAATAATTATTTAATAATTTCAGAACCCAATAATGAGAATAAAAAGATGAAACAGATCCAAATTGCCCTAATATTAGGATTATTTATCCTTTGGATCACCAAATGCCGTTCTAGTCCATCAGAAAATAGTATTATTAGCATAGAAATCCCGGAAAATGGTAATGCAACCCAAAATAAGGAAGCAACAGTCATTGATCTGGAAAAGATCAACAAAATGTCCGTCGTGGAATATGTCGGACGTCAAATCAAGTCGATGTGGGACTATTTAATTCTAGGAAATGAAGATGAGCCAGAAAAAACTGACTTTATAGGTAAAATTTATTTTGACTAAATTGATTTTCATATAAAAATTTAATTATCTCAGGTAGATGTTTGGGCATGATGAAAAAAATGCGCCAAATGATGCCATTTGCAATGATAGCAGCCGGTGTAGTGATAACCAAATTAGGTAAAGTACAATTAGGCAATTCAAACCACGTGACACTCAAGATGGCGTGGCGGCCACACATGGGCCAAAAAACACAAAAAAATATCTAGTTTCTGCTTAAGAGTTTACGTACCTAGTCAACAAATATTTTATTAAATAATCAAAATCAAAGTTACAAGCAAGACTCTACACTGAGAAAAGTCCCAGGAGAAAATTCTTTGCTGGTTTTTTTTAGCTGTTACAGTGGAAAATGTTTTAGAGGTAGCAATGTTATTTTGCTTCTACAGAAAAGACCACTTTGCTGAAACTACTTTATTGAAACTGCAAAGATATTTCTTATTCCAAAACCAAACTTTGCTGTTATAGCAAAATTAAAATTTTATGAAAATATTTCTGCTTCTCCGAAATAGAACTTTTCTAAGATAGATAGATACTTTACTGTTGCAGCAAAAAAAAATTCCTGTAATTTTTGTTATTGTTACAGTAATGTTTTTTGCTACCCTAGCCAAATAACTTAACTAAAAATACCGTTCGGACATTTCCGTGATTTCTTCGGGTCCAAAAATAACCGATAAAATATGTTTCGTGTTCATTTTCTTCCATTTTAGTTTAGTAGCTAACGCCGTACGGTGTGGATCGTGGATGCTGTCGAGTCAAGTCGAGTGTCGGTCGCTGGGAATCTTTTTGGAAATGGTGCCAGCGCATCCATCAAAACTAGCAGAAACAACTCTAGCGCCAAACTTTTCATTAATTGACATTATTTCAGATCAGGTAATGAAAGTTTAGGGGTTTAAATAGAGTTTGTTTATCTCCTGGTTTTGTTATGATGGACGCGCTACTACATATTTCCAAAGATTTCCAGCAAAATATTTTTGCTATTGGTGAGACAAATAACTTCCCATGGCTAATAAAACACTTGGCTGATTCTGGCAAGAAATTTTTTGTTCTGAGACAAACGCTTTCCTATTTCAGGAAGCATTTCTAATAACAACAACAAATATCTTTTCTGTCTTAGCAATCTACTTTTCAATAGCAAAAAAGGATGTTTTTGAGGGTATATAACCTCTTTTCTAGGACAGCATAGCTACTTTCCTACGACAGCAAAGTACCTTTTTATGCCAGCAAAGTGACCTTGTAGAAACTGTGAGTAAATTCTTTATAAAGTCACTTTGCTACCGCAAATAAACGGTGCCAGTAAAGTTATCTTTTCGGCGGTAGTAAAGATCTTGGCTGTCCCCTATGTAGCCAAAATTTTTGGCTACGGCAGCAGAAAAATTAGCTATGACAATGAAAAAATTTTCTCAGTGTAAGCAAAATAATTTAAAATACACATAAAAACATATTCAAAAAAAGCTTGCTTGGCCGCCACGCCATATTGAATTTTCCTTTTTGACAGATGGATTAAATTGCCTAATATGAATCACCCCAGTGAAGCTATACATTTTTTTTTAGGGTTTCTAGTGTTGTTCTCCTTAAAAACACTTGCAATGTTAGGCCTCTTGCTTTTGCTCAACGTTGGCACTGTTGCCGCAAAAGTAGGTGCCATTTTGGCGTCAAAAAAGCACGATCATGCGCCCCAGGATTTGCACCTCCACGTCCAACCATGGAAACGTATGTAGTTTAACTCAAATACGGCTTAAAATTAAGTTGATTTTTTTCAAGAAGGGGAACATGAACATGTTCTGAAAGGCCCGCCTTATGGATGGGATGACAGAAGAGACTCAAATATCGAGAGTCACGACCTCTACAATCTATATGAGAAACTGAGATTCGAAAACAACCTTAAACGATACCTGAATTCACAAAGTTACCGATAATTATGATCTGCTGCTAGGCTTTACCAAATTATGATAAATTTCCATTATTTGTTTTTTTAAATTTTATAAGGATTAAATGTGATTTTTAAAAAGCTCTTTATGTTTTACTAAATACTTTAAATGTCAATACATATCTTAAGCTCATTTGATGAATAATATTTGCACAGGGATGTTGTTGATTTGAAAAGACTTGCCTACTTAATTTAATGCTCAATAAAATGATGCTTTAACACACATAGGTAGGTACAATTGAAATGGTTGAATGCAGAGTTGGATAGGTAATTAAAATAAAATGTAGTCTTGACATTCAAAAAATTTGATGCCTATACAGGGTGTCTAAAATACCATGGGCCACCATTGGTATATCGGAAAAGGAAAGAGATACGAGGGCGGTTAAAAATAAGAAAAAAGTTGCCATTTTCGAAGGGTATTAAAAATATATTTTTGTTGTTGCCAAATTTCTATATGATTTTTTTTATCACCCTGTATCTCGGAAACTAATAGAAATTTGGCAACAACAAAAATATATTTTTAATAACCTGCTTGGTATTTTTAATAACCAATGGTGACCCTTGGTATTTTAGACACCCCGTATATAGGTACATTTGGCTCAGCAATAGCATTTGTGTAGCATAATGGCTTCCTTAGCGATCCGTTTAGAATAGTAAAATTTTATTGACATAACTGGATGCAATTCCTCGACTCTTTCTGTTTCGCATCCCCTTTTCCTGTATACAAAAAAAACCAAATTTAAATGAAAGAATTCTGGTTTTTTTTTTTTTTTGAAGTTAGACAAAAATGGCGCTACTACGAGAAAAATCTTCCAGTTTCAGAATTCGAGCACTCGGAGATCTCCAAAAACCATATTATTTTTCCAAAGAACAGATTTCCCGTTACGATAAAATAGTACATTACCTCACTAGTGCAAAAAGTGCCATTTTTCCGCACGCGATTGCAGTTGCAGTTCGGCCAAGCAATCAACTGAGGAATAGAAACTTTCCCCACAAGTTAGGGAAGCAATTTTTTCTACGAGCGTACAAAAAACATTTAAAAAAAAATAGAATTATGCTTTTTTAACTTTTAATAAAATAACGAGAACCTAGACATCTATTATATACTTATTGCTAATATTAATAGTAAAACTAAAATTGATCGCTGATAGCAGTTTGTTTGTAGCGGTGGTTGAATCAGAAGAATCCATTAAAGGTGCCTCTATCTCTTGAGCTGGGAGCATCATGGGCAAGGCGGATCTTTTTCCGTTTCCTATTTGGTTACCGCTGTAGCACTTTTTATCTTTTGGTACACAGCGGACGGCTGCTTTTCATCTGGAGAGCAGATGGGTCGGAGTTCAAAATCAAAGTTTAATTTTTAATGAAGTTTTTAATTATTTACTCAAATATTTAAAATTCAATATACACCTAAGTATATATTACTAAAAGGGCGCCACGCAATTTTTATTTGATTTGGTTTAAATTGCGAAACCAAACTTAGAGAACATCTGCAAAATTATTAATTGGTGAGAGTGGAACAATAATAATTAAAACAACACTTCAATCTTCGATTGAATAAAATTCTATTTGTCAATAATTATTGATGGTTATTCAAGTCACACTGTAATCACAAAATATTTTTTTTTTTTTTTTTTTTTTTTTTTTTTTTTTTTTTTTGGCTTTTAGCATAGCTCACTTAGCCACGAAAACATAATTCAAAAGTTCAAACTTTAGCTAACCATTCACCCAACGATATACAGATAAAAAAAAAAAAGGAAGGAATCTAGCAAAAAGGATAAACACATGGACACACGCTTCTCGTCCTGGGGTCTATGCAGGACATTTTTAAACTTTAACAAAACACAGGTGAACCCGGTTAGGAAGGATGTAACATATAAGGAAAAAAAACATAGGAATCGAAACAATCTCTAATTATCTTTCAAATAAGGACTTTACATAATTTTAAGTAATTAATAAATATATTTTCCAAGTTATCATCTGATAAAATAAGCTTTATTAAACCCTTGTGGTTCATAGGTATGAGATGGAGTTTTTCCAATTCTCTTCTTAAGAATGAAGTTGCCAATTCATTGTGTCTACAACTAAATAATCTATGATTCAAATCATCTTCAGATTGGTTATCACAAAAGCATCGCGTGTTCTCGCATAACTTAAGCTTATACATGTGTTTATTAAAATTTCCATGCCCAACTAAAAATCTGAAATAGGAAACAAACACATTTCTGGAGAGTTTAAAACGTTCCATTAGTGGCTTTTTATTCAATCTAGGATAAAAGGAGTTATATAAATTAGGGGAGTTAACTGCCATTGCAATATAATTACTGCGCCAAACTTCCCAAGATCTTTTTTTGGTTATTTCGAAAAAGTCCGAATATGGAGTAATTTCCAGGATCTCTTCTGATACGATCGCCTCTCTTGCTGCATTGTCAACCAATTCGTTGCCTTTGAGACCTGTATGTCCCTTAACCCATACAAACTTGACAGAAATATTTTTAGAGCACAAAACAGAGAATACCTCCAATACTTTGGCTATAATAATATTCTTACAATTCATCGCATTTTTGAGAGATTTCAAAACTGACTGAGAATCAGAGAGAACAATAGCTTTGAAAATATTTCCCTTTGACAATATATGATCTAATGCTTTCAATATTGCTAGTGCTTCGGCAGTGAAGATAGATGCATTATTTTCACATTTGTATTTTTTAACATAATTCAATTCAGGTATAGCAATTGCACATCCTACTCCTGAACTATTTTTAGCCCCATCGGTATATATTTGAAGATAATTTTCATTCTTGCTTAAGACTTCCCTTAAATGGATAGAATTTACTGAGGGCAACTCCGAAAAATTCGGAAATATAATTTCAGGTTTGAGATATATCAAATCAGATGGAAATTGAAATAGTATATATTTGTCTTGTTTTGTTATAATGTTTTGAAATTCTGATGTATTTACAAATGCATCCGCTAAAACAGGACTTTTCTTATTTCTCCATTATGACTGAGTTAGATTAGAAATATTCAAGATAGAAATTTTATTAAGCAACGAGTTATGTACGTATTGAACATTTTTAAGAATAAATTTTTCTGCTAGAATTTTTCGTCTTATTTCTAATGGAACTTCATTACATTCAGAAAGTAGAGCCTGGATTGGGGTAGAGCTAAAAGCACCTGTTACAAGTCTTAGAGCTTTGTATTGCAGCCTATCGACTTTAACACGTCGGGATTTGCAAGCAGAACCATAAAACATAGCGCCAATATCCAAAATTGATCTTGTAAACGCTTTATATAACATTAAGCAAACTTGGGGATCGGATCCCCATGACCTAGATATTACTGCTCTCATAATATTAAGACTTTTTTCGGCCTTCTCAGTTATATAGGTAATATGTTCTTTCCAAGCCAATTTTTGATCCAACAAAACTTCCAAATACTTAAATGTTTCAACCCATGGGATAACACAGTTGTTAAGTGTAATTGTTGATGTTTTCTGTAAACGATGCCTAGTAAAAACCATCATTGCTGATTTTTTATTTGAAATATTGAAGCCATTGCTGGGAAAATATTGATTGCAAACATACATAATATGTTTTAGGTTGGTTAAGCATGCATGCGTGCTTTTTTGCTTGGTATAGATACAAAAATCATCAGCATATTGTAACTGAGAAGCATTTAACCCCATTGAATGAAAATCCGTTGTGTACATATTAAAAAGTAATGGGCTTAATACTGAACCTTGGGGGATGCCACATGATACAATTCTGGTTTCGCTAGTATCATTACCTATTCTAATGGATACGCCTCGATTGATATATAATCTCACTATATTATTAGCATTTGCTCTAGGCACATCAAATTGTACTAGTTTATCTATAAGGATTTCAAGATTGACATTTTCATATGCACTGGATATATCCAAAAATATAGCCGCCAAATAATCATTATCAGAAAATGTGTTCTGTACATCAGTAACTAAATGTGCCAGACAATCATTTACGCCGCTACCTCGCCTAAATCCGAACTGATGGGAAGGAAGTAATTTTTTAGATTCGCACCACCACTCTAAACGATATTTGATTATTCTTTCCAGAGTTTTTAACATACATGATGTGAGCGAAATTGGCCTAAACTCGTCAGTTTTACCTGGTTTGCATATTGGTACCACCAGTGCATTTTTGATTTTCGAAATATCATCACCTCTACACATAATATTATTGAATGCGTCTATTAACAACTGCATAGCATGGAGGGGTAAATGCTCTAACATACTATAAGTGATTCCGTCCGTACCTGGGCTAGTGTCTTTATGTTTTCTGACGTTATTGATGAATTCTGATATAGAAATAGGTCGTGATAAAAAATGATCGCTTGACGCATTCATTGGTGGAATATCGCGTGACACAAAATCAGGTGCTATTTTATTCAACAAAATATTGGCTGATTCCTGGGAAATTGTATTGCTTATATGTGTATTTAAACCACCCTTTATCAAATTAACTCTATTCCAAATTTTGGAAGGAGGGCTCTGGGCGTTCAAACTACTACAAAAATTAACCCAACTTTGTTTGGATTTTCTTTTATAGGTAAGCTTACACTTAGCTGTTAAATTATTACACTGAATGTAGTTTTGGAGATTGGAATTATTACGAAATTTTTTAAACATTTCTTTCCGACTGTTGGATAAAATTTGGCATTCCTCGTCCCACCATGGTACAAAGGGTTTTTTATTTTGAAAAACTCTTTTAGGAAAAAGTTGGTCGGCAGTTTCACCAATAACATTGATTAATATTGAAATAATTTCATTTGCCTTGTCCGGTACTTCCCTAAGGTTACTAATTTTGTCCTCTATGCATTGACCAAAGGAAACCCAGTTGGCATTTTTGAGTTTCCACCCAACTAAATTATGTGACGGCGCAAGATTACTTTTATTATTCAATGTCAATTTAACAGGAAAATGATCTGAGCCATAGGAATCTTGTAAAACTTCCCAAGACGAGATATTACTGATGTTTGAGGAAATAATAGTTATGTCTAAAGCGGAACTACTTGTGGCTCCTATTCTGGTATGCTTCCCTTCATTCCTTATTAATAAATTGGGAAAATTGTCTAATGCATTTATTATTGTGTTCCCCGGTGCATCATTAATATTACAACCCCATAAAGTATTGTGGGCGTTGAAATCACCCCCAATTATAGAAAAGGACTTTACAGAAGAAAAAATTTTACAGTAGTCCGAAACACTTATTGCCACATTTGGTGGTCTATAAATAGACACAACAGATATTAACGTATTATGGATAGATATGTCTATACCACATAGTTCAATATTGATATTATCGAACTTTGGGAATTTGATATTAGAAAAGGAAATTGATTTTTTAATTAGTATAGCCACACCGCCTTTACCATTAATTCTATCTTTTCTTATAATATTAAAACCTTTAAGACTAATTTTGTACTCTGGTTTATACCAAGTTTCACTTAAAAGGGCAATATCAAAATTAGTATCTTGTAATAAGTTTTTTAACAAATTATGGTTTGAATACGCAGATCTAGCATTCCAGTGAATTACAGTTAGTTGTTGTGTGAAGGCTGCCATTGTTGAAAGATATTTTTGAGGGTATTATTGATTATATAGCCTATATTTTCTATTATATTTGATACATCAGGAGATTTCTCACCCCTGATTGAATTATTTATTTGACAAGTTAAATCTTCAATTATTTTATCCTTTAGACCTTCAAAAGTATTTTTAGTGTTTATCTGATGAGACTCAATCCAAGGTGCACCTGTATAGGACCAATCAAATTCTCTGCTAACGGGTTCAAAAGAAGGACTTCTATCACTGACTTTCCGTTTTTTATAATTTTCATATACACTGGAAGAGGGAATAGACTTGCTGGAATGTGGATGGGCTACAAATGTCGTTTTTGAATTTGGGGGATTAGATTGATTTCTATAGTTCGGTGGTAATTCAGGAAAATCGGTTTTTGAAGACAATGGAGCAAATTTATTTTTCGAAACAAGGCTTGCATAAGAAGGGTTATCTACAATTTTTTCGGCTTCTTTAAAGGATACATTAAGATTTGCCATCGCCTGCTTAATTTTAACCTGATTGTTATATTTAGGACATTTTTTACTAGTAGAAATATGAGAATTATCTTTACAATGAACACAAAAAATTTCACAATCAGTACACAGTCCCTCGTCATTTAATATTTTAGAACAGGTTTTGCATCGTTTTTTGCTTTTACACTGGGAAGCAGTTTGACCAAAATTTAAACAATTATAACATTGAGCGACCGGGGAGTACCAAGTATCAACTTCGTATCTCAATCGGTACATATAAACAAATTGTGGCAGGACTAAATTATCGAAAGTTACAATAATCTGCTGTCTAGGAACTTTTACTTTATTGCCATCCTTATCGAGAACAAATTTAAATCTCCTCTGCACTGCCTTAATTGGAACTGACGACTTCAAAATTTTCAAAATTTCTTCCTCTGAGAAAGATGTATCAACATTACGGATAAGGCCTTTTTTTTGAGTAAGATGAGAGGGAATATATGCAATAAGATTGTTACTTTCAAATACCTGATTTTCAACTATTTTGTTGGCACCTATAGCGGATTTACACATAATCTGGACCCTATTTCGACCAACTGTGTGCAAGAAATCAATATTATTTTCATCGCCATTCAGATTGAATAATTTTTCACCAATTTTGAGAGGATGCAATCTACCAAAATTTAAATATTTATGCTCCACAAAAACTGAAAATGGACCGTTACTATTTGTTTTATATCTATTTTTCAAATCAATTCTATTTAATCTATCTGAAATCTGTTTATCATGTTGAGTTTGAGAATTAATATTATTTTCTATGGACTCATCTTCATTTATCATCATATCATTGTATGTGAGATCGACTACTTTAATATTATTTTTATCAGGGGGTGGTTTACCCTCTTTATGATTATTGCCCCCCGCCATGATTAAGACATGAACGGAGAGCAATTAAATTATCAAATAAAATATAGTAATAGGAAAAGGTACAACTCACAGAAAATATCCTTCAATAAATACCAAATATTTAAGGAATGCTGCAAACGCACTAAAAACCAAGGTCGGTAAGAGCACAGGTCCGAAAACTATCGTATCTGAAACCGAACTGAATCACAAAATATATATAGCCAATTTAAAATAGGAGTACCTATGAAATAAATATGTTAAATAACCAGTACCTATTTAAATGTAGATACTTCAAGTAGAGTATCAATGTAATTCATAAGTTTCCTTTCAAAAAAAAAAAAAAAAATGTAAGTTAATGAATCCTAAAATTTATGGAAACTGGTTTAACTTGGATATTAGGTTATTGTCTAATTGACACCTTTAATTATCTCATACCTAAAACCTGGAACCCCATAGTCGACTATAGTTCACAATATTGCTCAATAGTATTTTCTTTTGAATTATGGTTAGTGTAGTGATTTTGTGATTCACGGTAACGTTGAGGGCACAAAGCCCCTTTAAATAGGGATGAAAATCACCCTGATTGACAGAATCTTAAACAATAATTTTGTATAACCCTTATGAGTAAAAAAAAAAAAAAAAAGGAAGAATATGTGAATTATAATAAGGTTATTTAAAGAGAGAAAATAAATAATTAAATAGTAATAAAAATAATACTCTGAATGTTCTGAAAAATCTGAATATGATAGCAATTAATTTGCTAATGAAGTGATTCTAATAATAATGATAAAATATTCTGGATATGACAGCAATTAGTTGGCTACTAAAGTGGTTTTAATAATAATAATAATAAAATATCCTGGCCTGTTTATCCTTGAAACGGTCACAATCTCAATTCTACGACGAATAATTCAACCAATAGAGTACGTCGTGTCTCGTGTCTCGCGACTCTTAAAGTCAGCGAGTCTTGAAGTACTGAATTTCTTAGGGCAGGAATTACAGGGCGATGATGGTATGGGGTGCAAACTACCAAACATACAGGTATATGGTATAATCAACCAATAACCAACGGTCCAATTCTTGGAGTCGACTCCCACGCGAATCCTACAGGGTAAAAAACACACATGTCACAAATGGGGCGGAAAAGTGGGATAAAAGAGTTGTGGAAATATATTCCAGATAAAGAAATTAATGCTTGAGCAGCTTACCTGGATTGGATTCCACAAAAACAACACAAAAAGCGATTCTGGCACGCCAAAGATTCTGGATTAATAACCCAGGAAGTTAATCAGAAAACCTTTTTTTCTTTGGCTCTAGTACTCGATGGCCTCTTGATCCATTGATAGAAAACTTCAACAAAACTCTTCAAAAGGTATTTGGGCAGATGATACCCGATTTCTTTTTGGACCAAGAAAAAGGCGTGTTGAGTCACAAAGAAGCAGTACCAGAATGGCGGTCCCCAGAACCCGTAAAATTGATTCCACCAGATTCGATGACAGCGGAAATCCAAGAAAGAAGAAAGCGCGGTTAATTTGAATGTGTACGAGAATTCAAGGAATTGTGCAAAATAAATTTGGCAACGTTGCAAAATTCAAATTAGGAACTAACCATAGCCCGGGGCAGATACTGGTTGACATTTAACAGCTGGGAATTTCAACAGCATAATTTGAAATAACAACAATGGACAAAAGGACTTCTAAACCCAAAGTCCCAGTCTCTATGAGCCAATCAGTGGTTGTTATACAAGATTAACCCTTGTGAACTTATCCCCTTGCTAGCTAAGCCAACATACCAGGTAAGTATTGTTTATTTGCTACCATTACGTGAAAGTTAAAATAATTAATAATTCCCATTTGTTTTAGGCTAAAGCAAGTTAACGCCCTCAACCCCCTAACCGTGGGCTAGTGGAGAAGATGCGTTGTTTGTCCTTTAATCGAGATAAACAGATGATGGTGACCAAAACAGGATTATGTGTTCTAAAGTAATGAAAGCGAAAGTGGAATTTGAATAGATTAAATTTGTAAATAGAAAAAAGATGATGCATTATTTTGTAGGATTGAAATTAAATAAAAATATTCAACTGATGGGAAATCCCATCCTTAATTATTGTTTCAAGTAAAAATATTATATAACTAGATAGGTAAATATCCTCTTTGATATAAACCTTTCACAAAAAAAAATGAAGGGTAGCATTTAAAGAAAACTCAAATGCTACAACCGCTACATGGAGCGCTAATCCTTCAGGACTCGTAAAACTATGTCTGGCATCGCGTTTTCTATTAGGTCAGCGCACATTGTCTACCGCTACATGGCTCGCTACTCCTATAGGACTTGTTAAATTATATCCGACGTCGCGTTTCCTATTAGACCAGCGCCCATAAATTGAATAACTATGCTCATTTTGCCAACCATGACGTGACCTTTGACATTGGGTTGGTTTCTAATAATAAACAATAGAACAATTTGCAGAAATTAACTTTTTTTGTAGCAGCTAAATTCTTTCCAGCAGTAATTAAAAAAACTTATGAAAAACTGTTCCATAGTTGCAGGCAAGCACTTTGCCGCGGTAGAAAATATACTCATTAATAATAAGTGTTTCTACTGTAACAGAAAAAAAAATATTAGTGGCAGCAAAGAACTTAACTGTTACAACCAAGTGACTTTTTGCTAACTTGGTAAAGTGCGTTCTACTACTAGAATAGGATCGTTTCGCAATTACAGCTAAAAGGTCCCCGCACACTTCTTATGGGATTTTGGTTGAACGGTGAACCTGTCAATAAAGCGAATTGTCTTTTTTGTCATCTTTCTTGTGAAAATGGCAATTCGGGAAAGGTAATTTGTAAATCGCACTGTTTTATTACTGAAAGATGCCGAAGTCCGTAGATTGGCTGTAAAGCGTCGAATCGAGTTAGGATTTGAGGATGAAAATCTTATTGTTGAGAACTCAAGGTGGATTTTGACATTGAAAACTTTGAAACATAAACAATAACGCTTGGCTCTGATTGGTCGGAAAATGAGGTATCCCTGCAGGTTGTAATCAGTTTTACAATGCATGAGGTGCAAATGGCATCTTGCGACCAATAAGCGGCATTGTTTCCCACATAACAAAATTGCATCCTTAGAATGTACTGAGAATGTTCTTTTTTTAGGAGGAATGTGCCTAGAATGATCGCCAAAACCATTGCGAATGTCCTGAGAATGTTCTGAGAAAAGATTGTAGAAATACTGTTTGCAATACCCAAGAACTTCCTGGGAAATCCATTAGGATATTCCTAGAATATACCTATGAGATTCTCAGTACATCCTGAAAAGAATATTCCTGTTTGATTCTAAAAATATACTTGAAATGTATATTCTCACATTCAAAGAATGTGTCTATGACATTATAGTTAAGTATTATACCAATATGCTTGAAATATTCTTAGAATATATCTACATATATCATTCTCAATATGCATCCTAGACATAAGATTCTTGTTTGATTCTAGGGACATACTTGGAATGTTAATTTTCGCATCCAACCAAATAATGCTCCTTTCAGTCCTTTCATATTAAAGGCAGTGAAAGAGTTGTTCGAAAATTTCTCTGGAAAACACAAGTGTTTAACCAAAGCTCCGGTTTCGAGCTTATTATGCTCTCGTCGCGGTAAGCACGCCAACTGAGAGAAACAGGTTTCAAGGTGATTCAAACGCGAGGCAAGATGTAGATCAATAATAGCGCGTGGCTCCCTCTCTTGGAAGTCCTACAAAGCAAAAGCAAAAGAATATAACTATAATATTTTTAGTAGGTTCTAGATAGAGCATTATTGTTTTATTGTTCAATTAAGATTTTTTAGTAGGTACTTCAGATAATTAGGTGAACAATATGGAAATATTCTTATCATGGGTACCTACCAACATAAACTTCTCAGCACAACTTGGTAGGTATATTCTTGATACTTGATAGAGATATTAGTCGAAAGAACATTTTTTAGGGTACATTATAATAATGTTCGTATGACAATATTCAGATAATGTTATATAAAGTAGGTTCTTAGCACAATCTTTCAGGTATGTGCATAGAAGCAACATTCCTAGTACATATATAGAACCTCCAAAAATGAATATTTCAATCGAAACAATCTTAGAATATTCATTAAACATTCCTGAAAGAATATTCCAAAAAGCACTTTGAGAGAATATTCTGAGAATATGAATGTTTTTTCACTGTTATGTGGGTTATGTTTCAAAGTTGACAGTGTCAAGTCAAAATCTATCTTGGATAAAAATACAGTATATAGTTTGTCATACTTCTATTTGTGTTTGTTTTAAAAACACACAAAGACCCACCAAACAAGTACTTTTCAAAATACCTTCGTACATTCACATATATAGGCACCTAACTTAAAACATGCACCTTTCTGTAAAAGGTCTAAACTTAATCAACATTTTTTAAAGCTACCTACCACAAATAAACGCAAAAAGCATGAAAATTCAGTATTTTCAGGTTGCCTGAGGTAGTATTAAAAAAAAACCCTGTATATCCGAAACTAGTGTGCGGGGTCCTTTTTGCTAGATAGCCGAAAATACATTAGTAAAGAATTTTTGGCTGGAAGTGAAATAATGGATTTTTCTTTAAGGTACTCCAAGAAGTGAAGGTCGTATAACTCCTAGAGAATCGACAGGTCAAAGGACGCCTCGGTACGATGATGTGCATGCTGATTTGGAGCGTACCAGAATGAAAAATGTAGGCAAAAGTCCTAGGTCTATGAGAAGCACGACGCCCCTTAGTATGTCGATGGGTGATGCTACCCCTCTTTATGATGAGAATATTTAATTAAATAGGTTTTATTTGGATCCTATTTTTTAAGGCAGTCTTTTTTGTTTAATAAAGTTTTTTTTAACAAGATTTGATCTTTTCTTTGTAAAAATTTGATCCTATTTTGAAGGCTCCAGTAAAGGAGCTATGACAGTTCGAGCGCAAAATCAGTCATTTTCCCATGTAAATCTCCATAAGAAAATCTAAGGTCCGTTCTGGCAATT